TTTTAACTTATAAATAAATAAACTTAAAGATGAATAATTTTCTTTAAAGCAGAAAAAAAAAATTCATTGAAATTAAACTATTTTTAATAGTTTAATCATAAACTATTTTAATTTTTTATTATTAAGGAATAAATAATTAATTTATTGTAATTAATATATACAAATAATTAAATTAATTAATTAATTATCATTTTGAAATTTAAGCATAACTTATTCTTTTAATATATATTATATATGTTGTACTTGGTACTTCTTGTTAATACTTTTTATTGTATTTTTAAAGGATGGAGTCAATACAAACTATGTCAAATAGAATCCGTGCAATGCGTGAAGCTTTAGTTGGAAATCTCAAACAACTAGGAACCCCTGGTAACTGGAATCATATTATTAAACAAATTGGAATGTTTTCATATACTGGATTAAATGGTATTTAATTGCATTTAAATTGCAGAATATAAATTTATAACTTTTTAATAATTTTTATCTTTACAGAGGAACAAGTTGCCAATCTTATTAAAGATCACCATATTTATTTACTTAAATCAGGACGTATCAATATGTGTGGCATAAATGAAAATAATGTAGAATACATTGCAAAAGCCATATATGATGTTGTTACTAGAACAGAGAGTAAACTGTAATAAAGTTAAAAAGGATTAATGAACTCCTGTAGATTTAAACTGGCACAAATAATAGAGACAAATAAATGTAATATGGTTTTCATAAATGACTAAAAATGCACACATACTAAGCCAAACATACTAATGAAATAATGCAAACTTCGAAAACTAATTAGGGAATCTAATAGTATTATATATTGATGCATTAAATCCCTATGGTACAAGAGAATAAAAAACAATAACTATAATGAACAATATCAGAAATCGACCCACTGAAATTATTTTTGCATATAAAACAATTTTACCAATATTTGTAATAGAATTTACTTCAACTTTTACAATATGTTTTATTAATTATTAAAATTATTATAGTGCGTATATATTTATTAGTAAGTTTAAAATGCAAATTTTAACACAAAGTTTACTTGAAAAAATTAGCGATTTAAAAAATGAAATACACAGATTTGATAAATAAAAATTAAACTGAAAAAGTGATGCGTAATATATATATTTGAACCGTAACATAATATTTGATTAAGCATTTTAAAAGCTATATGTTTTTATAAAAATAAAAGATGTTTGCAATTTTTATTGTATATTAGTTAAATTATATAAATAAATTGTATTAATCGCCAAGTGTAAACTAATATTTGGTATTCTTTGTAAGGGCTCTTTGTTAATAAAAGATCATGTACCATTAGATCTGAAATGTGTTATAGAAGTTTGAAATATACTTAAGTTTAAAAATAAACTGGTTCCTCAATGATATATCAAGTAGTACTCATATATGTAGAAGAAAAATTATTGTAAACTATACTTACACCAAAAACATAATATTTTTAAAAATGCAAAAGTCATTAAAATGTATTACAATATCAAAATGTAAAAAAAAATTTTATAGTTTATTTGGCTTAAAATTTAAGATGAAGGTGTAAAAGAATGCATTTTTAACAAAAATCAGTTTACAAGAGTAGATTTAAAAATATTTAAATTAATAATTGTTATTTGTGTGTTTTGTACACTTAATTGTTAAAATGTAGCATTTGTAAAGAAATTCATAATGCAAATATATTGTGCAACTATGCCAAAAGAGCTTAAATTGTTTATATATATGTATGTATAAATATATGTATATATATTTAGTGTTAGTGTTGGATTTTCAAGACAATAAACAGAGTCAAGTTAATAAACTGTTAAACACATACTATTCACATGACTTTGTTATTCTTTATTATTATAATAAACATTATATTTGCTTTTCAATTAAGTATTGATATCAACTGATTTTGCAGCGGCGATAAAGAATTTATTATTATTTACAGAGAAAACCATCTAATTTTGGCAAATTTCGAAATTGAATTTTCGTGATTAATTAACTTGAAATAAAATATTATTAGCTCTGTTACTTACTGCTGGTACTCTACTCTGCTTTAACCTTACTAAGTGAGTATACAAACAACCTTATCAATGCGAAATCACTTCAAATGTTATCAGTAAAATTTATCGGAAATTTGCACAATATTTCGTTATTTATCATGTGGCATGTTGACGGTTGATTTGGAGGCCGTTTTATTGTCAGTACAGATTGGTAGTCTACTCAAAATTACAGTAGTTTTTAGGCTTTATACGTTTAATTGTTTATTGCATGTAATACAATTAATATTAAGATGGATACTTCAGATATTATTTATTAAGTTCTGATAATTATATCATACTTAGATAGATAAAATGCCAAATATTCCTGCAAATAGATTAAATAAACACTTGCTGATTACGTTTGACATAAAACATAATTATCTCTATGAGATAAACAATGTTTATACAAATCATTTTTATTTTAGAAAATTTCTTGTTTTATTTCTTACAGAAATCTGAGTTTGGTCTTAGTATAATGTGAAGCATTTAAAGACTTGTATCTTCAAGTCATGTCTAACTTCCCTGTTCATATTGGCTTCATATAACAAGACTAGACCTATAAAACTTTTTAAAAGCGACTGCGTGAATGCTGCTTACTGCAGCTGTTTCTGGTCACTGGTGTATGGGAACTGCACCCACTGCTGAAATTGAGAAAACTTACAGAAAAGAGACACAATTAAGCATTTTCTCTGCCACTGCTTTCAGAAGAATCAAGTTTGTAGGAAACTATTTTTTTGAAGTTTGTCAGATTGTTCATCGGTAAGAACAAAAGTTCTTTTAAATTATCTAAATTGGTCGGAACGGATTTAGTTTTTGTGTTTTTATCTCTTAAGATTTCAAGGAATGTAGCAGTAAAACGGTGAAAAATCGGTATTTATAGAAAGAAATGAGATTTGTGCTGATCTGCCACTGCAACCAACCTATCAAAGTGAAATCAAAAAATATAAAATATTCTGTAAGGATTTAATATCTGTAGGCCATATTATATAATACAGGCCGTATTGTTATTAAGAAGTAAATACATAAATGCACATAATCTTCATAGATTATAAAAATTATGTTGAAGCTCTTTGAGCTAGTGCAGTTGTGCACTTTTACTCTTTCTTAACTCAAGGTATTTTCAAATCCTCTCTTTACGCCTTGACTGGATTAATGTTTATCACTTCATCAGACTAAGCATAGATTATAATCTACTAAAAAAAATATTAAGATATTTGACAAAAAGAAGACAATCCACTAGATAAGTATGCTTATTTCCAATTAAGTTAGATTTTAAAATTTACTTACTGTGTAGTCATCTATCTGTAAAATCTGAACTTATTTAAGATAATTCAGTCCCTCATTAGTTAAAAGCTATTCAGCTTTATCATTGGTTAACAGATGGACTATGGTTGAAACTAGCCAGGGTCAAGGTAGAGAAACCAATAGATTTGGCTACTGCAATAGATTGAAGCCAAAAATCAATAAAGCTCACATTTCGATATGAGAAATGGTGGGTACTATCTTGGGAAGTTGAGCTGTAGTATTGGTATATATTAAAAATCAAATAATTTATTTGTGACAAGTAACTGTTTAGCACTTGACTGAACATCTGTACGGGGCTGTTAATCATTGTTTATAGATGAACTCACTGTAGTTAGCTCTATTGCAATATGTGAAGATGTAATCATAGTAGATTTAGTCACGCATTTACGCTGATGATGTTTAGGTTCCTTCAAAGAACATATAAATCTATTAAGTTGTTTTTAGTTCATCTCTTTTATCTAGTTCTTTGTGCTACACATGTCATAGTGGCGTATAAGATATGAATGTTATTCGTTATTCAATTTCATGTGTTTTTTGCGCTGATGTTTTCATCCTAGGAAATGATACCATTGTTCTATCGATTGACTGCAATCTTCCTCTTTTTCTACTTCTGTTAACTTTGCTATGTACAATCGGCTCTTCTCTCTCTCCCAAGTTTTTAATTTGTTAACTATTTGACCTATGTTCTTTTTCTTTGTTACAATATTATTTTTAGATATAATGTTTAACTATTTGATAGCAGCGTAATGCATAAATAAATTTTTTCATAAATGGATTTTTTCAATACTTATGAGGTGATGTAATTGATTTATATTTAATCGATCCTGAAATAAATAATAGAAAAAAAATAATATAGAGGTCAACGTCAATTAATGTCTGTTGTCTCTACACAGATGAAGCTTTCAGTATTTAAGTGACGCTGTTAATATTATATATGGTTTTACATAAAACGCTGCCAGACTCCACCAAACATTGATGTTAAGTTTTTAATAAAATCTAAATATGCAGTGCTAAAAGATAAGACTATGCACAATATATATATCCTACACATAGTGTATATTTGCCTCTAATAATAATAGTAATGTTTCTCTTTTATACAATTTTTATAGTTTAAATTAAAATCAAATTTATAAAATATAGAGCAGATCTAATAGCTTATCAATTATAATGACTCAATTTCACTATTAATTCTACAACACAATTAATTATTTAATAGTTTATTATACACACACTAAGATATTACACTAATATTGCAGCTTACTACATTATTTATTTTACTTATTTTAATTAATTTATTTAAACCTCGTAAAGCATTAGATAGTCTGTTTGGTCTTGAAGCGGGAAATACGTGTGCTTGTCGTGTTACTATTTTAACTACTTAACTTGTAAAAATGTTAGCAGGTTTTAATTAGTATAATAAAAGATTTTTATGATTATTCGAATGTTTAGATACAAAAAAAATGAACCTCATAGATATTTTATCTTAAGGCAATAACATAAGTTACATACTTTAACCTTAATGAGCGAGTCTAACCCGCCTCTTGTAATTAAGTATGATCCCTTTGCTTACAAGCAAGCAATTAACACTTAATCGTTTGAATAAGTTTTAGTCAAAGAAGATTGATGGGATTTTAAGGTATAAACAATACCAAATCTTATACGATTAGTGGTTTTCGTAATGTGCTGCTTCCAATAAACCTTCCAACAAATCTATTAGCTAAGAAAAAAATAATCGTTACACTTACAGAGAACCATAAAGAAATATGTTCAACCTATTCTGGTTCGTTAAACATAATCACTGCTGTAATCGCTACGCCCCACAATTGTTCCTTTTACTGGAAAGAGCTCATTAATCATGAGCTGAATTACTCTATATATTTTTTTTAAATTCACTCCCTATAATTTGAAGATATTTTTTACTTTTGCTTTTGTTGATAATTAAAAATAGAAGAAAATTATTCAAATTCCTCGTTTGATTCAGAGCATCAGCTAGTCTTTGAGTTTTATTAATCCAAGAACATCGACTGAGCTTTCACTTTATCAGTGATTTTGCATTGTGATTAATCATTCACTTTGATTTAATTAATTGCAATGTGAATAAAATGAGTTCAATTAAGTAATTTTGTTTCAAAGAAACTGAAACTGAAAATGAAAGTTTTGCTTAAAGTAGTTTTCTACAAATTCCGCTTTGTAGCTATTAACCATGAAAATAATTTTATATAAGTGCAGTTTTTAAACATTGTAATTAGATACAAAATACTACTACATTAACATTAAAAATTATAAAACTAAAAGAAAATTGTTGAGTAAACCAATTTTAATGACACTAAAATCTTGATGAAAATACCAAATGAAAAAGCGGCTCAGTAAGATATGAGCAGGTCTGGTTTACAAATCCGGACTCTACTCTAAAATTTTGTTGCGAATTGCTTTACATTTAGTGTTCAACGAGAGACAAAACAATACTTCAAAAGACTCAACCAACAAGAAACCTAAGATCATATCATTATACATTAATACTGAATCACCAAAGCTAAAAGTTAGTCAAGTAGTAAATTGCTTGTGTACTGTGTTAGTGCTTGTCGATGAGCATTGTTGCACATGTATATGAAAATGCAGTTCTCAAAACCCCTTGGACCCATAAAAATTTTGCCTATGTTTGTCTTATTA